AGATGAGTGTAACGCGTAGCATCAATGTTAGAAGCAGGAAGTTTACCCACCATGCTGCTCGGCCAATAACCACCATTCACAATTGTTGGATGAGACATCTTCAATGGATGCAGGACTAACTCACTTCAACAACCAAATACTTTCTCCTTGATATCACTCTCTATATGCACTTCAATCGCTTGCTGTGCCTTGTAAATCCTATTTCATTCAGATCCCATGTATATACTACTACATCTCAATCATCTCAATTATTTATTCCTATTTAATTTCTTTATATTTTTAATATTATACTATATACACTGGCCCGATATATGCATGTTCACATCTTCATCCATTCCTTTTTCATACATGCCATTTTTTTTATTTCATTGTTCTAACTTCTTTTTTCTTATTACATAACCTCTAAATTCTACCTAATTAATATATACTCTTAATTTATCCATTCAATCCATATTCATTTAATTAGGTCCAATTATAATATGTAATAAAACTTTCGCACTTTAACCTTCTTTAGTTAATATTTGCGCTATTTCTTTTTCTTAAAAGGAAAACCATTTCATTGAGGGTAAATGATACATAAAAATGAGGCTATATATGAATTTATATCTTTCCAAAAGGCGATTGCACCAATGGGTATTTCACAACTCTATCTTAAAAAATTGACTATTGACTTCACATTATATATTAGTCTATTATCATCATTATGTTTGTATTAATAGTTAGTTGAGTATATGCTTCTTTATTACTTGTTGCAAATAGAAATAGTTTATGGATTTAATTTTCTAAATGAGCAATATTAGGTACTAATAAATAATTTTTTTTTTCACACTATGTTTTTCTATCTAACTTTGATTTGTCCTATTAACTCCTTGATCTATTTTACAGGTTGTTAAGTTAGTTTAAGAAGAAGAGATTAAATTGGAATTAGGAACATCGGTATATCTAAAGAAGCCTATATGTCAAAAAGGGTGTATCTTATGCTACAAATATAGTAATAAATGGATAAATCGAACCCAAATAAGATAGTTACTAGCTAGACATTTGAATGTTGACGTACCAAATGTCAAGAACTTTGGATTAAAGTTTTAATTATACTCCTATGTCATTTCAGCAGTTTTAAAATACTTTAAACGTTTATAATTTTTTTCCAAAATACCCTCTAGTTAACACTTTCGTTAAGACAAGACAAAAATACGATGTACAGAATAATTTTAAAAATGGAGGTTGTAGAAATATTCCACAAGACAATTATTCCCCTATACTTTAAGGACAATTTAATTTTAACACCACTTTTAAATTTATGTCTAAAAAACAAAAGCGTTTCATTTGCTTCTCTATTGATTAATATCATGTTTCAAAACAAAAGCCTTCTACTTTTAAAATTATTTTAAAACAACCTCATTGACTTGGTACCCGTCTGAATTAACAAATTTACCAATCTAACTTCATTTTGTCCCATTAGTTTTATGTATTGATCCTTTTTTTTAAGTCCAATAAGTCAATTCCAAATGAGAATTATGTCACCCACTTTTATTTTGCCTATAGTATGTACTTTTACAAAGTTTATTCTTTCCTTAATATCACTAATATATTTTAAACCTAAGATTATTGCTTTCTTAAAGAATTACCCCAATTAAACCATCTACTTCTACCTTGTCAACTAATCTATTATTAATATATTAGGTTCTACCTTCGATGTATAATAAAAWTTGTTATCTATTATTAGAAGATTTGTGCAAATTTGGCGGGATCCTAGGAGGGCAAATTTATGCAGGTAACATTCAAGTTTCTTACCTTCTTTTAATAAACCAAAAAAAGAATGACATGATCTATGGACTCAATAATATTAGACAATTATTTTGAAATAAATTGGATATGATAATGTCACAAGAAACTTTGTGTTGTTCCAAACTTTCTACACAATTTTGAGAAATTTTAAATGAGTAAAAATTAACATAAATATTTGTGAATACTTAAAAGTTTCTTATTAAAATTGAAACGAGAAACGAAAATGTTTACGTTACCAAACAACCCCTTAATATCTCGATGATCACTTTCATTTACAAAATAATTCAAACCTATAAACATTTTCAGCCATTTGCAAGGTAATAAATTAGTATACGTACATTCAAAAGCACTAATACGAAAATTAAAATGAATAAATTAGTTCATATTGATGTAGTAGAAGTGGCTATTTTCCAAGAAAGATGCAGTAGAAGTCGTTGGTCATTTAACATTTTAAGAAAGGGCTAAATTAAGTAGACAAAGTACAAAATAGAAGTGTGATATAACATTAATTCCCATTTGAAAATTGGATTTCTTGGCCTTAGAAAACTTTGCCCAGCCCCAACGCATTAGAGTTTAATATAGGACTAAATGAAGTTAGCTTGATAAGTTTGTTTAAATCAAACGAGTACCAAAGTCGTGGATGTTTCAGTCAATAATTTAAAGGATACAATATTAGAATATTAGAGGGTAAAAGGACAAAAGAAACTAAGATATATATTTAAAATTTGTTACAAGATCGCATTCGAATATATATATATATATATTTTGGAAAATAGCATTTTAGAATCATATAAAAAAGAAGAGACCTAGATAAAAGCACTCTAATTTAGATGAATGGTAGAAGCATCGTAATTAAAAAAGAGATCATTTAGATGATCAAATGATGCATAAATTATAATTACAATATATCTACCATTTCTCTCGAGTGCTTTCATCTAGACCTCGCTTATACTTTTAATGAAATATCTTCCTAGAGGTTTGAGTAAGACCCCATTCGAATATTATAATGGCTGGCCTGATTACAACTACTTGTTTGATTAAACTAATTTATCAATCTAACTTCATTTTGTCCTATTAAACTCTATTAGGGTTGGACCAAGTTTTTTAAGGTCAAGAAATCTAATTTTCAAATGAGAGAATTATGTCACTTTTTTTTTAAATTTTAATATAATTTGTCAACGTAATTTAGATTATTTTTTTAATATGGTCAATATTTAAACTTATTTTAAAAATAATGCTAATTCGAAATTTACTCAAAAAATGATGCTTTAGAATTTTTTCCACCACTAGGTTGTTTTTTGAGGAGGCGATCAAGTCCACTTCAACAATAAGTCATCTCGTGCTGGCGTTAAGGATCCAACATTGAAAAGAAAGTGAACTTTAAATAGGTTTATAATAGACATGATCAGCTACTCCTCTTATTGTCAATTGGTTTTGAGATAAACTCCATAAATATTAATATGATATTAAGCGCGAAAAAGCTCAAACGTCTGGTTCAAAAAATGGGATCCGACCAAAATCGATGAACGAAAAAAGCCACGAAAAGATGCAACCATGTTACTTTTTTTTTTTTTAAGAAAAAACTTGTATGCAGTCTTTTCAAGAGACAAAATATACCTATTTTAAACAATAAATACTAGTTTTGTTGGAGTAACCTTAAAAACAATTGTGGGATTGGTGATCAAACCATCCATATTTAAGAGGTAATAAGTTTATTCACTGAGTTATGAAAGTGGCCACACATTTTGGGTGGAAAGGATATATTAGAAAGAAATTAACTGCAATTATAAACATATGAAGATACAAGTTCCAAAATACATGAAGATTGTTAACGGTACTGCATATGGTGCCTCGATGCAAATGTGCAAATTCTTACAAATTTAAGGTTCGAGTGCACCCAAAAGATGGAGAAAAAACTGGAGAAAGAACAATAAACAACGCTAGAGGACAATATAGAAGGCATATATTATATAGCAGAGCAGTGAAAGCCAACAAAAGGGACTTCTGAGGCTTGTAATTAGGAATGAAATGTCTCTTTATAGACTTCTCAAGTTGTCCTCATCCTGGTGGCCAGGATTGCATCTTGTGGAATGGTACAAAGGATGGAGTTTTTACTGTCAAGTCTATGAAGAATGTGTTAGCAGGCCAAAACAGGGACTTGATTTTCGATATTTAGCTGCTAAAATAATTTTTTTTAAAAGAACCATTCGTTAAGAAGTATGTGAGAAACATACCAACAAAAGGAAGGCAATAGACTGACTTTCCAAACGTACCAACAATTCAGTTGCTAAAATATGGACAACACTCATCTGTCCCTAAAAAATGTAAACTTTTTCTTTTGTGCATTCTATGTAGGGTATTAATACACACGATGGACTCCAAGATAGACTTCTTTGTATGTGCTTATGTCCAAGCCGATGCACTCTCTGCAATCTAAATAATGACTTTATGGATCATCTATTTCTCCATTGTCTATATATACAGCTTTTTCTTTGGAGGCAGTTTTTCAAACTTGTCACGATACATATCCATGGCTCTTTCTGTCGGCATCCATGTCCTCTCATTTATTTGGTTCGAGAGAAACAACCATCTCTTTTCAGACAAGTATCGACCTGCGGCCATTCTGGGGATGATATAGGAACGGCTGTCTCTCCACCAAATCACGTTTCTTTTGTAATTATGTCATTTTTCCATTTCTTTAAATTGAAGTGCTTTTATCTAGTCTCCCTATCATGTATGTTTCTCACCTACTTTTTGAATGAGTTTTCCACCTCCAAAAAAGAAAAAATTGTATCTTCCAGATGGCATCAATTTCTTCTCCGTTTTCCTTGCCTTTAATTGATGATTCGTTCAAACCTCTCATTACTTAATTTAATTGGTTTATACATTTGGTGCATTAATCAAATGCTTAATTAAACTATTTTCTTAATCGTTAAAAATATTTTCATTAACAATTGTGTTTGATCTTTGCATTTAGTTACGTTTATTCTCTCAGTTTCCACTCCTTTATTTATCTAAACACAAAAGTTTTTGTTTTAATACGATACATGAGATGAAGTAATTCAACCAGAATTTTGGGTCGAAAATATATATTTTAACCAATTCATCAACTAAAGCTACCTAAAAACAAAATTGATGATTCGGAAGAAGAAACTATATACCTAGAGAAAATAAGAAAAGAAAGTAGATACATAAAAACATAACACACCAGAAATTTTATTGGATATGTGATAGGAAATACAAGAATTGAAAGAGGACAGACACAACAGAGACCATCAACCTCGTAGTTTACAAGAAAAACATATGCATATATATGTTTTTATTGGAAGTTTGAAATGAAAGGGGTAACTAAAAGTAGTGTTGCAGATGAAAGGAGGAGAAGAAAATAGAGATGGAAATTTAGGAGGACCAACTGGATTTGGCAGCGGTGGCCAGAGTGTAGAGTTCATCGTCAGCAGCAACGTTGGAAGCAAAGTAACCCAGCGCCATCATTGACCTGGCTAAGTTAACTTTCTGAGAAATGGTGTCTTTACTCTCGAAGGCAATCCAGGTGGTAGTGGCATTAAAGGCGTAGGCAATCACAAATTTCCGGTCATTTGGGACAACTTCAGCTTGAGTCTCATGTATGAAGTTCTGGACCTCGTAGTAGACAATTTTACCATCTAGGGCAATCTCATATTCTCCAGTAGACTCAGTCGGGCCATCGGCCTTGGAAAACACGTTGTGCTGGAGAGGGTTGGTGAGCTTCCAGGCCCACCCGTGGAAAGGAATTCCAAACACAATCTTATCAAAAGGCAAATCGCCAAGGATTTTACTCCACGAATCGATACCGAAATGTGCGGACAAGAGGTTGGCTTTGTGGTTGTTGAATGCGGAGGATGGTGCAGTGTAACCAGGGCATGAAGTTGGGGTGTAAAAGTCGTAAGAAATAAGATTGACCCAGTCTAGGTTCTGGCTGATTGCTGTAGCTGGGTACACAACATGTATATTGGGCTCAACATAGGGTGCGTTCGGCACCGAAGCCACAAGGAGCCACGACGCTTTTCGGTTGTTGTCTCTAGCGTCATCCTCAGCGACCTGGCGCCATTCAGTAATCAAGTAATCGAAGTTTTCCATATCATCTTGTGTAGACGGGTATAGCCAGCATAAATCCAAGCCGTTAAAGTTGCCAGCAACTGCTGCCTTGATCGAGGATTTGATAAATACTTCGCGTGTTAGGCGGTTGCCTGCCATTTGAGAGAATATTTCTTTCTCTCCCCTAATAGATAGCATAGTTTTCACATCTGGATTGCTCAATTTCACCTGGGAAGAGAATGCATTGACTATGTTATATTGCCCAAAAGGAACTATCACCTCATAACTTTGGATGTCGATTTCTGCATATCCACAGAACAGATGGGTGTAAAGCGTAGCATCCATCTTGTCAGCAGGAAATTGCGCAGCCTCGTTGCTCAGCCAGTAGCCACCATTCACAAAATTTGTCATCATTGCTGGGTTGGGAGATTTTCAATTGGATGGATTCAGCAAGGAAATAACGGAGCCAATCACATATATATACTACTATAGTCTAATACATCTCAACTACCTTAATTAATTCCTATTTTAATTTCTTTATATTTTTAATATCATACTATACACCCATATGCGGTGTATGTTCATACACATTGCCCTATAATAGTTTCCTATTTTTTATTTCATTATTATAATTTATCTATCTAACTTCTTTTTATCGCATCAGCCGGTAATGAATGACCTCTCAACTACAGCTAAAATATACTCTCTTACCGTGTAATGAAACATCCATCATAACAGCAGAGTCATTGAGGCAAAAATTACCTAGACCACTCCTCACTCAGTATACCTGACACTGAATACTGATGTGGCTTGTTCGAAGACTTAGCAGAGACAGGAAGACTTGGATGAGTCTTGCGTAATTGGGAAGGCGTCATCATTCTTGCAGGTAACCGTTTCGTGGATAATTGTAGGAGTGTGAAGATGTTGGAAGCTATGGCTATTCTGGGAGGGATGTCCTCACCTACAGTTTATGATTCCATCCTATTTAGATGGAGACGGACTCGTTAGAAATGGCTAAGTTGTTGCGAAGGGAAGACGATGATCTTACTGAAATAACGTGGGTAGTCAAATAAATTTAGACAAACTAGGACGTTATTTATTCTTAATAAAAGTCTCTTATTGTTGTGCATCTGCTTAATAGTTAGAGGATAAGTGCGCACACTGTCAAAAGTAATAATATGGAAATATTCCAAGTTCGTCTCCAGGGACTCGTTTTCTTTTAAAATTGATTTTGTAAACTGCTTGAATGAGCAATCGAGTTTGGGAATAAAAATTGGTGGAATTGTTGGGAAACACAATTTAAAAACACAAAGATTAAAAAAACCAACCCCCTAATAAGATTTAGTTCTAAAAGATGGATTACACCTATCAAGTGTGTCCGTAATTAAACTCAATTTATGCAAACTGGTTCAACTCCTATTTCATACTGCTTTTGGTTTGTTTACAAGCTTAGGCTAGTGTTTACATATGTCTATGCAACTCTAGAATCCTAAATTCCTAAATAAATCAAGTTCCAACTTACATTTAACAGGTAAGAGAGCCTATGTCTAGGATCTTGTTTTATTTCTAAGTAACTTTCCGTTTCACCTTGATGAGATTTGTTTGACTCTAACATTTTCAGAATTAAATTCAAACTAATGTGATTTAAACAATGGCTAACAAGAAAATCAACTGGATATAATTAGATCAATCAAGATAAGCAAAAGAGAGCGTAATACCCCATGCTCATTGATAGATGAAATTTAAATAGATGAACTAAACTCGTAGGAGGGTTAAGAAACAATTTACCTACCCATGGAATTGAAATAAATTAAAACACAAGAGAAGATAACAAAAGAAAGCATTTTAATTAGAATTGGAAAGAAGTACAAAATGGAACAGATTGAATTGCAATAAAATAAACAAGAGTAATTCGAGAAAAATAATTGAAAACAAAACAAAACTATGGAAAATGAGATGCCTTTGAAGTGATGCTGGAAGCTCCTTTTATAGGCTTTAACAAGATGTTGAGAAATGCATGGGAGGTTGGAACAAAATGAGGTTGTAGAGATTTTAGTAACTAATAACAAATCTTGGACCACTTGGTCAAAGTTGTTATTCCCGTTTTGACAATTTAGGCATAAAATGTGGCTGAAGCATTGTAAAGTTGGAATGTCCAAAACAATTGGCTGGTGGATCCCTCTAATAATCTGGAAATACTTGGCGTGCGATGTGCCTGACCCATTGCAGTTATCAATTTTCAATTTTCCTTACAAAATAAATAAATTTACACAAATTAGCCTTCATTTAGCTATAATACAATTCCAAAGTCCCTAATCACAAATTATGCACATTTTCCCTAAATTATATGCTTGAACATACATTTTTCATCATAATTAACTACCAACTAAGCATGTAAAACTACTCTTTTTAGCCTTTAATCAAGTCTTATCACTTATTCTTTTCTCACGGAAAAAAAAACTACCTTAATTAATTCCTATTTTAATTTCTTTATATTTTTAATATGATACTATACACCCAAATGCGGTGTATGTTCATACACATGCTCTATAATAATTTCATATTTTCTAGTTAAAATATACTTTCTTATTAATTTTTTATATCCATGAGTGCCTAATCCTATAATATTTGGTGTCGGGACAACATTTAGGAATTACTCATTTCTAAGGTAGGCCATCATGGGATTTGAACTCATTCCTATAAAAAACCTACTTTCTTACGATCACGGGGTTCATTCGAATATGAAATCCAATCCTAGAAATACAGCATCCCACTTTTTTTTTACTACCCAAGGCTTCKATACATTTCGAAATCGAGAAATTTCTACCACAGTAGGTGGTATCGAGAACAATTAGCCGATTTGGATTTGCGACTTATTATAGATTATTCGTTGGTAGAATGGAAAGAATTAGGGGAAGAAGGACCCGCGGGTAATGAATGGAAAGATCGAAAAGTTGGAAGAAGAAAAGATTTTTTTGTTAGACGTATGGAATTAGCTAAGCATTTTTATTCGAACAAATATAGAACCTGAATGGATCGGACTCCTTTGGACTAATGAGCTACCCGATGATGATTTATTTTATTTTCATTTATCATTTTTTATCAAAATTTAGTTTATTAAGTATATGTATCTTTTATTACTTATTTCAAAAAGACATAGTTTATGGGTTTCCTCTTCCACACCAAGTTTTCCCTGTAACTTTGTTTTGTCCTATATCCTATCTAATTTTTCATATTATATATTCTTTTACCCTTCAATTCATTTCTTTAATTAATAGTTGTGCCCAATTATAATATGTACTTTTTTCACTTTGGTCTTCAATTAAAAATGACAAACGACTTCACATTGTGTTATTCGTTCATTCATTATCATATTTGGATTCTTATTTATTTAGATGCAAATTATGGATATAATTTATGAGAAATGTACTAGATGCTAATAATTTATTTCACCAAGCATAATCCAACCTAACCTTATTTTGTCTTACTAGATTGTCCATTTATTTGCTAACATGAGCTAAATGATATCTACCTTTTCTCTTAAGGTCAAAAGTTCAACCCCTCCAACTCTCAATTTATTGTATTAAAATAAATTGTCTCTATTATCAATTTTACATTTAAACCCATTTTCTCTAAATTTATTAGAACTTACCTTGCCCTTTTGGAACAATGGACCAATCCATGATGATTATTATTAAACTATTGTTTTATTAATATATTTGGGCATGTGAGCATGCAACATAAACATGTCACTTAGAGAAAATGAAAATTTTAATTGGTTTGGTTTGATTTTGCTGGGAACAAGTTATATTCCATGTATCATGTATGAGTATGATGAAAATTTTAATTTTAATTGGTTTGGTTTGATTTTGCTGTGAGCAAGTTATATTCCATGTATCATGTGGGAGTGACATACTCATAGTTTAAATATGTTAATAAAATAATAATATAATGATCTATATAATTTTGTTGTTAACAAATTTTCACAAATTTTTTTGTGAATGACCTAATTGAGATTTTTTTTTACTGCATATTCGAGAATTTTAAAATTAGACTGAGGACTAGATTGAGAATTTACTAAAAAGAGTAGCGTCCTCTAATATATTTAGCCTAAATGATATTGTATTTTACTATAATTAATATATAAAGTCTTAAGATCATATGGGACTATATACTACCTAATTCAATCTCCATACTTTGTAAATGTCACATAAGTTTATCCTAAGTTAATTTGAATATTTATTGACATGAAACCTTTTAAACAAGGGGACCAACATTTGAACCTATAAATATTTTTCGGCTATTTGAAGAGTTATAAATAAGTATACATTTAAATAAACATTAATACAAAAATGATAATGAATATATTAGTTTTTTTAGTACAACAAATGTTGGAATGGGAAATGAAGCCTCCGACTTTTAGAGAATGAGCAAGATATTTTAACCACCGAACTATGTACATATGTTGGCATTGATAGATTAGGTTCATCATCTTGTCATTCTTTAAGAAATCAATAATCTTAGGTTTACTGTACTAAAAAAAAAATCTTAGGTTTAAAATATTAGGGACATGATGATATCAAAGACTAGTGGATATATTATATTATTATAGATAAAATAAAACTGCGTGCATAATTCTCATTTAGAAATTGGATTTCTTAGACTCGAAGAAAGGCGTCAAACTTTAACATTATAGGACAAAATGGCGTTAGATTCATAAAATTGTTTAATCAGACAAGTTCAAAGTCGTGGACGTTTCAATCAAGAACGTGTAAATAATAATAATAATAATAAATAAAAATTAGGAAAATTACATTGGATAGTTAAATTTTTATACATATTTACGAACGTGTAACCTCTTTTTGTATTTTACAAATAGGTAAAATATTTCAATTTTTATTTTTAGAAGTTTTATTATTCCAATTTTACATCTGATATACCGTTTAATGTATCTTTAATATATCTCCGATGTACCTCTAATATATACATCTAATGTCTATATGATATACATCTATCTGATGTATATCTAATATACATTCGATGTACCTCTCATATACTTTCGAGATATATTTGATGTGCCTTTGATATACATCAGATATACATATTATACATCTAATATACATCTGATTTACCTCTAATTCATTATATACTAAATATAAAGGATATCAGCTGTTTAGATTTATAGAGTATATCAGACTTTTAACTTGTATTTTTCGACATCCATGGTCTCATTAATCTTTCATGCAATAACTTTAGATTTCATTTCTTTTTGTTTACACCATTGTTTTCAGCTGAAAAAAAAAATAGTGGATAAATTAGTTTTATATCCACACACATATAGCATATTTATATTAATAGATATCATGGTTATACCAAATGTATATAAGTGGTAAACTAGAGGCATATTAAGTATATATCATAGATATATAAGTGTTATATTAGCGTGGTTTGGCTGGAAAGAAACAACCAATATTTTTTTGGACAAATCTCGCTCTTCTGCTCAGCTTTTGGAGGATATTATAGTCTTGGCATCAACTTTGTCCTCAAAATCTCATCCTTTTTCTAATTATAATTTATCTACCATTTTGCTTAATTGGAGCACTTTTGTATAGCCTCATTCTTTTGTATGTTTCTCACATACCCTCTTAATAAAATGGTTTCTCCTTTCAAAAAAAATATTAGCGTGGTAAATCAATGATAAATCATATAATCATATCAGAACTTATATCAGTAGAAATCATAATTATATCATATTTATATCAATGATATATCAATGGTAAACTATATTAGAAGTTATATTTAGTACATATCATAGTTATATAAGAAGTAAATCAATTATATATCAGTATATATTAGTAATATATTAGAGGGATATATCTGTTAGCAAGCCAAAGTGGGAATTTAATGTTTGTTTCAGCATCAAAGATTTGAGCAAATTTTATCCCTAAAAATGTAAATTTTTTCTATGGTGTGTGTTGCATGGCGGCATTAATACTCATGGCGGCATTAATACTCATGATAGGCTCCAAGCTAGACTGCCTTCCATGTGCTTAACCCAAATCTTTGCACTATTTGCAATCCAAATAGTGATTCTATGGGTTATTTATTTCTCCATTGTCCATATTCAACCTTCCTATGAATGTTTTTCTTTGAGATCTTCAAGATATATATTGTTCTTCCTGCTGGTGTTGATGCCTTCATACAGGAATGCATAAATACCCCTCTCTCAAACAGCAGATATGTGCTTTGCTGTAATGGTTTTAGCTCTATCCTTTGGTTTATTTGGCTCGAGAGAAACAATCATCTCTTTTCAGATAAATATATACATGCATATTTTCTATATGAGATGATATAAGAATGACGTCATCTAAATCAAGGTTCTTTTGTAATTATGACATCTCCACCATCTCTTTAAATTGTAGCATCCCTTTGGTTGTACGTTTCTCATATACCTTTTGAATGAATGTTGATCTTCTTTCAAACAAGTATATATAAAAGACATATCAAGTATATATCACACATATATTAGTAGCAAATCAATAAATAGTAAATTACATAATCATATAAGAAGTTATATTAATAGATATCATACTTATATTAGTGATATAACAACAATATATTAGTAGTAAATCATAATCTCTTCCCCTTAAACTAACTTAACAACCTGTAAAATAGATCAAAGAGTTAATAGGACAAATCAAAGTTAGATAAAAAAAAATGGAGTGTGAACAATAAATTATTTATTACTATCTAATATTGCTCATTTAGAAAATTCAAATCCATAAACTATATCTATTTGCAACCAGCACTAACTATTAATACAAATATAATAATGAAAATAGACTAATATATAATGTGAAGTCAATCGTCAATTTTAAGATAGAGTTGTGAAATACCCATGGTGCAATTGTCTTCTGGGAAGAGATCAATTTCATATATAACCTCATTTTTATGTATGTTATTCATCTACCTCGATGAAATGGTTTTCCTTTTAAGAAAAAGAAAGAGAGTGGAAGAAGGTTAAAAGTGTAAAAATTTATTACATAATATAATTGGACTTAATTAAATGAATATGGGTTGAAGGGATAAATTAAGAGTATATATTAACTAGGTAGAATTTGTAATAAGACAAAAAGAAGTTAGATAGATAAGTTAGAATAATGAAATAAAAAAAATGAAATTGTTATATGGCATGTATGAAAAAGGAATGGATGAATATGTGAACATGCATATATATGGGACCGGTGTATAGTATAATATTAAAAATATAAAGAAAATAAATAGGAATTAATAATTGAGATGATTGAGATTTAGTGGTCGTGTATATATGGGATTGGAATGAAATAGATTTACAAGGCACAACAAGCAATTGAAGTGCATACAGAGAGTGATATCAAGGAGAAACTATTTGGTTGTTGAAGCGAGTTAGTCCTGCATCAATTGAAAATGTCTCATCCAACAATTGTGAATGGTGGTTATTGGCTAAGCAACACAGCGGGTAAACTTCCCGCTTCTAACATTGATGCTACGCTTTACACCCATCTCTTCTGTGGATATGCAGAAATCAATGCCACAAGTCATGAAGTGACGATTCCTTCCACAGAAGTGAGTCACTTCTCCGAAAAGGTGAAAATGAGCAATCCGAACGTGAAAACTCTACTGTCTATTACAGGAGACAGTAAAGTTTTCTCTGACATTGCAAAGGTGCCAACAGCACGAGACACGTTTATCAAATCCTCGATCAAGGCAGCTGTTAATAGTGGGTTTGACGGCCTTGATTTGCAATGGTTGTACCCATCTTCTCCAACTGATATGCAAAACTTTGAAACCTTAATTGGGAAGTGGCGGCAGGCGGTTGTGGACGATGCTAGAACCTACAACCGAGCGGCACGGATCCTGGTGGCTTCGGTGCCGAACCTACCATACATTGAGAAGAATGTTGAGTACCCAGGTGAAGCAATCAAACAAAACCTGGACTGGGTGAACCTTGTTTGTTATGACTTTTACACCCCAGCCGAGGGTTCGTCCGCAGGTAACACTGGACCATCCTCCGCGCTCTTCAACCGCAATAACGGGTCCTTGTCTGCATGTTTCGGGATCGAATCCTGGACAAAATATGTTCCTGCAACCAAGATCGTATTCGGAATCCCTTTCCACGGGTGGGCGTGGCAACTGGCGGACCCTCCCGAATACGATGTGTTTTCGAAAGCGAGTGGGCCAGCTGCGTCTGATGTAGGCTATGTGATTGGCACCGACGGCCAAATGGAGTACTCGGAGGTGAAAAAGTTCATAGGCGCCAACGCCTGCAAGGGTAAAAATATCCCAAATGACCCCAGATTTGGTATTGCCTACGCCTATGCCAATGCCACCTGGATTGCGTACGAAAGTGAATCCACCATTCCTGTGAAAATTGAATTGGCAAAGCAAAACCAGCTGCTGGGTTACTTTGCTTGGAACATTTCTGGCGACGACGACGTCAACACTCTTTATAACGCTGCCAAAACCAATTGGCATTGATCAATTGCATGCTGCTGCTGCTTCTGCTTTGGTTGGTTTTCTATGTCTGCAACGCCAACACCAACACCAACTCTACTACTTCATCTTTTCCAATAAAATAAATGCATGCTCCCCTCCACCGTACCTGTGTGTCTGTGTGTCTTACTTTTGTTTTCTGCTCCTTCTCACTACTCTTATCTTGTCTTTCCTTTCATTTCTCTCTTACTGTGTATTTCCTATTATCCAATAATAAAGTTGCCTTTCTTTGTGTTTCTGTTTCTCTAATTCATTCTCCTCTCCTATCCTACATGTTTTAGTGTTCTCTTAAATAGGTTTATTCAATGCTTACTCATCAAATAATGGATCGGATATCAAATGATCTTTTTATATATTGCAATTATATATGGCCATTGGAATATGACATCATGTTTTTATTATATTTTGTAAATAATTTCTTACCATTGCCCATTTATTTCCTTTTCGGTGTATATTATCAATATTTATAGGGTTTCATCTCAAAATCGATTGGCTAGAGAGGAGTAGCTCATGTCTATTATAAACCCTTATTAGATTTGTTTTCTTAATGTGAGATCTTAACATGCCTCCTCAAGATCGTGGCTGTTTTGGCTCATAGATCTTGGCCGATCCCATTTTTGGACCTGATGCTCGTTTTAGCATTTTGAGCTCTGACATCATATCAAGAATAATGAGGTTCCATCTCAAAACCAATTGGCTATGAGAGGAGTAACACATGTCTATTATAAACCATTGTTAGATCTTTTTTCTTAATATGGGATCCTTAACATGTATAATCGCCGCAAATGGTTAAAATTTTCATCACCATTTTGGTGTTTGCTTTTCTATCTATACCTCTCTTATAAATGAGCAAGATTTTCATGTTGGGATTATGGAGCCAAAACTTGAAACTCATATCTTATGAAGAAAATGATTTTCAATACTATTACCAATTCCTACAGGGAGTAAGATATTGTTGTCTTATAAGGATTATAATATTGTTTTCCTATAAGAATTAGAATATTTGGCCTCCTATAAATAAAGCCCCTATGTTAAGGTTTCATTGGTACATAATCCAAATAAAAAGGGATTTGAGTGGTTGTGGACAGTGTTGCAAAGGATTCTGTATCCCGTGGGTTTAGTGACTGTTTTTCATTCCTATACCTAAGTATAGTATGTTATAATATTTAGAAGCTAGGAGGCTTTTGTTGGGACCTCTAGGGAATATTTTTGGGGAGAGTTTTGTATTCCAATCCTTAAATAATTATTACTGAATTACCCACATCTGGGTGGAAGACTAGACGTAGCCTTTAGTGGTGAACCAGTATAATTTGCTGTGTCGTTATTCTTGTATTTTTATAGAGTTCTTCCTATTTGCATATTTTTGGTTGTGTTTGCATATTTATGTGGTAGGGGAAATTATACAAGACCATTAATTTCTAAACAAGTGGTATCAGAGCCATGGAAACCAAACTGTGTAGGGGAGGAATCCTCGAGGGGCTGAACAAGAGTGATTGTGGTATAAGCCTAATAGTCATTATGGAACTTGTGGATGAATCTCTAAATCAAACAAAAAGTGCTCGAGGTGGCGAGCAAAGACATGTTCTGTGCTCAGGTGACGAGCAAGACATGTGCCCTATCAAGTCGGGGTAGATTGATAGAAAGCCTATCATAGTTGGGTAGACTGATAGGAAGAGTGGTATATCTTGTTTGAGAGGATGAGATTGATGGTGGCCCTAGGTGTTCCCACAGGGTGTTCCGTGTAGCGAGTGCTCTATCTGGACGTGCTAGATAGAAGCGGGCTCTCGTTCCCAATCGGGAGTAGATGACTATTCGAGTCAATATACAAGTGGTATCAGAGTTGTAGGGTTGCAGCATCATGGGAGACCAATATCATGCACACCATTACTATGAAAGGGTTCTGAAGTTCACCAGAGAAAATTTCAGCTTTTGGAAGGTAAAGGATCTTCTTACGTGCAAAAAGATACACAAGACTTTAGGGGAGAGACCAGTAGGGATGACGAGCAAGGATTGAAATGAGATGGATGAGCAGGCATTTGTGAATATCAGAATATCGTTATTGATAAATGTTTGTAGTATGGTGGCCAAAGAGACTACAGCGAAAGAGTTATTGAAGGCTTTACAAGATGGTATGAAAAACGTTATGCCAATACAAAAATACTTCTGTGGATGAAGTATTTTAATATCCACATGGAGAAGGGAACCTCGGTGAATTCCTACATTAATGAGCTCACCGATATCTTGAACAAATTAGAAGGGATGAGTGTCAAGATTGAATAAGAGGTGAAAGCTATGAGAGTGTTGACGTCTTTGCCTGACAGTTGGGATACGATGAAGACCACGATGTCAAATTCGCTAGGGGAAAATAGCTTGAAATTTTCGGCTATTTGTGATCCCGCTTTATATGAAGAAGCCCGGAAAAAATTAGGGAAAATGTCTGCATCTACTTCAGGGGCAGAGGACGGGGTTGAATCAGCGTTGGTAGCTCAGAATAAAGGGAAGGAAAAGATGAATTACAATGGGAAGTAGCAGCAGAGATATAGCAGGGGTAGTGGGAGTTCTAGTGGGGAAGTGGAGTGTTATTACTGCCACAAGAAGGGACACGTTAAACGTTTTTGCATGAAGTTCAAAGAAGATTTTGAGAAGGGGAAGATTTTTGAGGGATGAACTCGTTGTAGCTTTTCAACTAATTATTTTTTAGTAGCTTTTAATGCTGATTTAATAGAAGTGTTATTATTTTCCTATCTTACTGATTTTGTTTGGCCAACATTATTATAAGTTTGCTAGCTCATTTGAGACTTCATTAAGTCTTTATGATGCATGTTTGCTTCAATTTTCTTTACATTCCTCTCTTTGTAGTAGGATGGTGAGTACTCAGGGATGAGGCGGCTCACCCTATCGTACCTATAAACTGTTTTTACCAATTAAGTTACAATATTCATACAACTTTAAACAATTTTATTTGACTTTGCTTTTGGGTATTCGTTTTTGTTAAACTCGATGTAAAGCGTTAATTCCTGTGGAAACGACCTTGTTTAATACTACAACTAAATATTTTGGTGTACACTTGCACCGACTTTCACTTGAGTTGTGACCAAGCGAACAGCAGTCATTGTCATAGTGCCTAGAAGCTAGTTAGCCATTGTCGTGGTATTTAGAGAGTGTTGTAGAGCGAAAGCAAGACCCGTTGTAATATTTCAATTATGGTTACGTTGTTGATGCAAGATTCTGCCGAGCTACCACAGATCGGTCACGTGTCTATCAATATTCACCGGGTTTCATCTCAAAACCAATTGGCAATGAGAGGAGTAGCTGATATCTATTATAAACCCTTGTTAAGTCCCTTATTGATATCCACATTGAAAAGAAAAGGGACCTAACAATGATTTATAATATACATGGGCTATTCCTCTCATTGCCAAATGGTTTTGAGATGAAATCCCATGAATGTTAATATAGCCCTCGTGGTTTTGCTTTTGGCTTCACCAGAAAAAACCTCATATCAATAGATCGGTAATACCTTGTAACCCTACCACTACGTTAGAGTTTTAGATAGATAAGTCATTACTTGATTTAGGTGGAATAAAAATATTTGTATTCCAATTGAATATTTAATAAGAAATACATAGCCTTCTTATATAGAAGAGAAACTCAAACAAAAAAGGGAATAAAGATAAAATAACAATTGATATTGACAACTAATTTACAGCTAGTATTTTACAAACGATAAACCAACACTCCCCTCAAGCTAGTTTAAAGATATCTTCCATTGCCAACTTGTCAATCATCTTATCAAATTGTACTTTCGGTAGTCCTTTTGTCAACACGTCGGCAGTCTGCTCCATTGTTGGGAGGTAAGGGATACATATAACGCCTGTGTCAACTTTTTCTTTTATGAAATGTTTGTCAATTTCAATATGCTTAGTCCTATCATGTTGAACTGGATTGTGGGATATGGAGATGGCGGCCTTGTTATCGCAATAAACTCATATGGGTGCCTTTTGAAATACTCTTAATTCTTTAAGTAACCTTTTTATCCATATCCCTTCACAAATACCATGGACGAATGCCCTAAATTCTGCTTCAGCACTGCTTCTGGCCACTACATTTTCTTTCTTACTTCGCCAAGTTACCAAGTTACCTCCAACAAATGAACAATAACTAGAAGTAAATCTCCTATCTATCGTACTTCCTGCCCAATCAATATCGGTATAAGCTTCAACCTGCAAATGGTTGTATTTTTTGAACAATATACCTTTTCCTGGAGTTTCTTTCAGATATCTTAAAATTCTATAGGCAGCTTCAAAGTGAACTGATCTTGGTGAGTGAATAAATTGGCCTACCTGCTTACTGCAAATGTAATATATGGACTTGTGTGAGACAAGTAGATGAGTCTTCCCACAAGGCTTTGATATTGTTCCCTATCATTTACTTCTTCTCTTGCAGCTTCCAATTTCAAATTAGGTTCAATAAGAGTCTCAGCTACCTTGCATCCAAGCAAACCTGTTTCTCCAAGTAAATCAAGAATATATTTTCTTTGGTTTACAAAGATACCTTTCTTAGATCTCGCAAACTCCATTCTTAGGAAATACTATAACGTTCCTAGGTCTTTGATTTGAAATTGACTTGCGAGTATTTTCTTTAAAGTGGCCAGTTCTACTTCATCATCACCTGTAAGCACAATGTCATTTAGATAGACAATCAAAATTGCAGTTTTATTGTTTAAGAATGCTTGTAAAAGATGGTATGATTAGCTTGACTTTGAAGAAATCCATAGCTCATGACTACTTTACCAAATCGTTCAAACCATGTTCTTAGAGATTGTTTGAGTCCATATAGAGATTTCTTTAACCGACATACTTTGTCCTTTTCAAGATTAGCTTCAAAGCCTGGTGGTAAACTCATAAATACTTCTTCAAGGTCTCCATTTAGGAAGGCATTTTTTACATCGATTTGGTGAAGGGGCCAATCTAAATTTGCAACTAGAGATAAAAGTATCCTAATGAAGTTGATTTTAGCAACAGGAGCAAAAGTTTCCTGATAATCAATCTCATAGGTTTGAGTATATCCTTTTGCAACTAGTCTAACTTTATATCTTTCAACACTCCCATCAGCATTACACTTGATTGTAAAAACTCATTTACACCCGACAGTTTTCTTATCTCTTGGCAAATCTACTATATCCCATGTACAATTCTGTCTTAGAGCATTGATCTCC